AATGGTAATGGTGAGAAAACAGTACTATAAAATATGAAAACAGAGATGCAACAGATTATATATATACACACACATATACACACACTTAAAAGTGGTGAGAAATTATCAATATTAATTAGAGATGGTTATTTATAGTTTTTTTTTCCTGCATGAAGAGCATCTAACATTTTCAGTTACATAGATTACATTCCTGATTCCTCTAAAAACAAGCAATATCTAAAAGTTGCACAGTAAATCATTTAATTCCCTTATTCCCTGGTTCTGCATAGTGTTTGGAGCGGTGAATCAATTTGAAAAGATTTGAGGAAACTGGAAAAGCAACAGTAGTAATTCTTAGGAGACCAATTTTACATATTGAAAATAAAATGAGGAAAATATATGTCTGGTCTTTTCATTTACATGCTTCAAGTTTTTATTGCTTTAGATTGTGTAAGTACCATATTCTCTTTTATTATTTCTGTTCTCTTCTTATTTAAGCTATATATTATATTGTGACACATTCTTCTTACAGATAATTAATCTTATCACTGATATAATTTCTAGAAACATATATTAAACTTCTGGTATGGAACTCATATGGAAAATCCAAAATTTAGATCTCTAAATTTTAGTTGTCTTTATGTGAGTTAATTATTTTCTATCTCACTGAAGGCAATGAACCTATATTTAGCAGAGTATTGGCATTGGAGCCCAAAGATCACTTTAAAGTAGTCATCACAACAGATGAGTGTGCTGACTTTTCTCTATGTTCCTTTGGCTATATTGTCAAGTGACATCTCAATGACTATACAGAGTTGCCTAGACTATACAAAATTGCATGTTACTGTCTGATGTGACCTGAAGTAGCCAAGACATCTGCATTGTATTAGCAGATATGTAGGTGGACCACAGTGAGACCAAATCATCCCAGTCTAGTTTCTGGAGACCTGCAGGTAATTCCTGCATGAGCATCCCAAGTGATTTTACATGACCACAGAAAAGCATCTTAAGCTATTATTGTACCTGGAAATGCCTGCTCAGAGATATCCTTGATATGCAATATAGTATTCCTTATTTTCAGAAGTTTAGAATAGTCTGCATAAAAACTCCGATTTAGCTTCAGAGTAATGAATACAGCAGTTCTAAAGAGTCAATTGATTTTCTGAGAGAAATTCTAATTTTCTATCAGTTTACTTCAAATGTTGCTACCTCACTTCCACCTTCCACTCACTGCATATCTAGCTTCATGATGTCTATACAGCATTCACACACACAGACATCACATTTATTTTCATGCACTAAAAGTGTTTTGATGATCTGATCACTCTGAACAGTGAATAGGTGCACGAAAGCATGTTTCATGGGCAAAAAGGCATGCCAAATTTAGCATTTATTTAGAGCATTTCCTCTATGAACACTGAACATCCGCCCTGAAAATTAATCAAACATTTTGTAGCTTGAATATAGCAATACAGTTTGGATAAATTAAGTCTTGAAAATGAAAAAAAAAAAAAAAGTAGAGAAGCTGTAGATAATACAATAATTGAATGAAAGAAGCAAAATCATAGTCAGTGAAATACAGTTAACTGAATATTTATAAGTCTTAAAGTATACCTGGGGTATAAAAGTACTGACACTGGAAAATGAAATTCACTTTTAGGAAGGTTAAGGTGGGAAATTTGGTTCTCAATTACATTAGTCAACGATACTATTCATTGAAGCAGTCAACCTACTCTAGATTTGCATGCGTATAAATGAGGTCAAGTAAAACTATTCAAAGACTTCATTCAGGGTATTAATCTGGACAATTACGAAAAGTTTTCGAGTAAAATGAGCTTCTCTGATTCTATCCAGTTTAAGAGCTTTTGCAATCAGCACAGTCTAAATTTGGCATCAATGTATGAATGAACTATAAGTACTGGATGACTTACTTTCATCAAATGGTATTAGGTCTGTACAGAATAAAATCCGATGTTGTTCGAATTGAAATAGATGAACTAAATACACTTACATTTAACCAACTTATTTAACCAACTTCTCTAGGCTTGCCACAAAATGTAACTGGTTATGAAAAATTTTAGCTACAGAACACCCTATTTACCTTCCTGGAAAGTGATTTTTTGTTAACCTTGTTTCCTTCGAATGTCAATGAAACTTAAAATATCCTATGCCTGATCAAACTCAGAAAGGTAAGGATTCCTAGGAACATTATTTCCCCTAGTTCTCTGAACTGATATATAACTCTGAATTATATCAATTCCTAACAGAAATTTAGTAAAAGCCATCATCACTTGGACCAGCAAAGAAAAACAAGGGTACTAAGTGGGGAAACATGCACAGGGGCAGGAATATATGAACAAAACAAAAAACAGAGATATCTTTCCAGGAAATTCATGAAGTAAGTTTCTCTTCATCAAAGATACTGCAGTGGAAACTGCAGAGAGAATTGATATGAGAAGGGGTGTCTGTCCCTAATCTTTCATTTGTAGATGTCTATGCAGTTATAACACAATGCCTCTGATATGGAGGCATTTTCTCTGTCCTGTTTTCTGGAATATATAATCAACAAAGATCTAAATGTTTGTTGTATTCCTAGAGACACACTAATCTAAGATAGATTATTAACTTAGCAAAGACATTCCAAGCAACTGACAGAAATAAAAACAAAACTATAGTGCATGGAGGTTCTGTAGTAATGAGTAAAATTTGGAGGAATATTACACACACAGACTCATTAATACAAATATTGCCTTCATTTTAGCCCATGACCTGAAAAGTACATTAATGGGTTCAGCTTAGTCACATTTTATCTCTGGCAATAAAGATAATTCAGCTGCTCAAAAGACATGCAAAAGTCAATAACATATATTTTGAAATAGTAACAAAACAAACAATTGATCAAATCATTTTATGGAGGACAATGGAATTAAAGAAGCAAAAGAGGAGGGGAAAAAAACGCGTTTAAACAGAGGGTAATTTGATTTCTTTGGTAGAAAGAAATGATTTACAAATTTAGTATAATGTAACACATCTCTCCAATGTGTTACGTTACGTTCCAATAACGTAACACATCTATCCGATATCAAACATCCCAACAAAATCCTTTTTGTTTTAGCCTCTCATTTTGTCAAATTCCACTCCTATATAGGACAAGGAATTCATATTTTCACTCACTTCACCTTTTCTCTGTATTTTTCAGCTTTGAACCTACATGCATGTGCAATCTCCTGTCACTAGTGAGAAGTAGGTCTAACACAAAGCCTACTTTATTTAATTTTCTTTATTGCTTTCAGAAAACAAAATCTGAAAGATCACTATAATGTTTCCTATTTAGTTTGCTATTAGGCCAAAAGGACTCAATATACACACTAAATATGATACTCTGTAATAAAATCCTACATTATTATGACACCATAACAAAAGTAATATTGAGTTATAATCTTTGTCATTAACTCTACTTAAGCTTTTAATTTAATCTGCTTAAATTTTCTTCCTTTAACTTTTGACTTCCTTTTTTTTTTTTTTTTTTTTCTCTGAACCATTCTACTACTCTTCATCATCATAGCTGCAATCTCATCATAGTCTGAATTTTGCTTTCTTTTGGATATGAAGTGTTTTAGGAACAAGCAAATGAGTTTCAGGTGTAGAACTCCTGGTATACCTCTTTGGGACAAAACTGATAAATGAGATAAGCGTTTAGGAACACTTTTTTAATAGAAAGTAAGAGCAAAATTATTAGCCATAAATGTGACTGGTCATAATGTAATATAAATTTCAGAATTTATAAGTACAGAGTTTTCTTGTCTGAAGAAAATTAAACAGAATTAGCAAAAGATGTGAATATAAAATATACCAAACAACTCCTTGGTTATATCATTCAAGTAGTACTGATCTGCTTTATCTGAATCTCTGAGGAAAGTGAAAGGAAGGGGCATCCATATAGGAATTCAATATATTTTAGCCAATGCTTTTAAAATTTATACCATTAATTAAATTGGCAGAGCTATCTTAATTGTAGAATAGACATGCTCTAAAAGGTAGACTCACCAAGAGTATTGAAAGTTTCACTGAGATTCATCGAAATAGAAGATTTTAAAGAATTGCCTGATGACAGATATTACTAATTCCAGTCATTTTACTAACTAAAAAAAGAACAGGCGTAGCACTATTAGAAGAAATCTTACCAATCAAAAATACTTCCTTTGAGCAAAGATAGTTCATATAAAAACATCTTTACAAAGAACTATGCTGGAAGAGAGGATGCTGGCTACACTGAAGAGTGTATGAATTTGAGAGGGCAAATAATATTTTTATTTTAATCGCTTTATCACTGACTTTAATAAAAGTCTTTTTACCATTTCTTCAGTAACAGAAAACAATTTTCACACTCTTAGGGGAAACCAAGTGAAAAAGAAAAAAAAACCAACCATGGCCTCAGAAAGATGACAGACAAGTGTCTGCAGTTTTTAAATGTTTAAATGCTATTTCTTTTTAAAGTTTAAATGCTAATTTAAAAAGTCATCAAAAATAATTAAACATTTGTATACCTAAGGGACAGGAGGAAGTACCACACTGAATAAAAAGAGGAGAGGAGAGGAGAGGAGAGGAGAGGAGAGGAGAGGAGAGGAGAGGAGAGGAGGAAAAAACCTTGTTTGCTCTACATTTTCCTCTTTAATTATAAAAACATTCCAGAATGTATTCTTTTTTGTTGCTGTTTAGGAAGGGTGTATGAACAAGAGTGCTTACATGTCCTCTCACCTATTCTCAGCAGCTAAGAGAGAGGATTTCTACCAGAGAACAACTTCCCATCTTCTTACCAGTTACAGGCCTTTTTTCACCATTGTTGATGTTGTAGCTTGGACCTGCATTTTGCTCTCAGTGAGGCTGTGGCTGCAGAGTCCATCCTGCTGTGAGAGCAGCTCAGTGAACAAGATATGAACACAAAAATATGGAACTTACAATTCTCAGCCACCATCAGTTCATTTGATCTCCTCTCCAAAAGGTACGATTTCTTTTTTAAAATATATATATTAAAGTGCTGTTTTATTTATGTAGGTATCATTTTCCTTTGGGTCCCATGATAGAATCACATAGTCTTGATTACCTTTAATTCATAGTGGCATCAAACCTGTTCTTCATTCCTAGACAAGAAAATAAGGAGCAGCGAGAAGAGACATAATCAGTGGTGACTTAACTTACTGAGGTTCACTTATCTGGATTCCTGGTAACGTCAGAGAAAAATTCTTCTGAAGTGTGAAATAAAGCTGGAATTTAATTTAGATACTTTCTCTCTTCTTCTGGAATGATTCTTTCCCTGGCTATAGAGGAAGCCAGGTGTTCCTGGACTTAATATGATTAACTTTGAATGTTAATTTCCCTGCTTTCCAATCCCTGAATAATAGTTAAAATAAAAAAGGATGAAACAAACCAATGGATGTTTATATTTAGTAAATGGATTTAAACTCTTATTTCCATTTCAGATTTTTTGAAATGGATCAAAATGGAATATGAATGATAAGTCGTGATTTACCTTGTGTTCACATTCATAACTCCTGAGTGTGATAGGTCTAATAGGTCTAATCAAGAGTTTTCAGAGAGATTCTATGCAAAAAGGGCTAGGATAGTCATTTTAAGTCTTACACGTGAGAGTAATTATTATACTTTTTATTATTCTAATAATATAAAATGATCAGTTTATGTTAAAGGAAATCTTAAGAAGTAATTCATCTGTACGGAAGTAGAACTGCCTCTGGTCCTCCCTTGGTTCTCACTTCATCAAAGTATTCCATCCTCTAACTAAATCATCATCGTAAATGTGACCAAAATGAAAGGAAACAATAATCTTTGCAGTCAATGATAAAGATTTATAACTTGCTTTTCAATTTCTGTTGCTGCCCTAAAGTCATTCAGAATAGATCCAGGGGAATTTTATTCATTCTATCAATGTGAGCAAGGGATGTGACCTCGTACAAAGGCAGGTAATTTGTGTTTAATGTAGTGGTGTAAACATTTATCAATATAGCATTCTTTCGTTATATAGGGTTGTGTATTTTTTTTATTATTATTTTTTTAATTTGGAGGCCTTCTCAACTAAACTGAATTAACTTCTAATTTGGGCTTTTCCATCAGGCTAGTAAGATTTTTTATTCTTTTTTTTATCTTGCATAACAGTAATTAAAAATACAGTCACCATATAGTAAATGACATAATTATATACTCATACAGTAAATGACCATTTTTTTTTAATACTGGATGAAATACAGCTTTTAGTTAAACTACGGATCACTTTCTTGGTATGCCACATATTTTGATGTTTAATTAAAAGCTGTATTTCATTCAATGTTACAAGGATCGCTGCCTGTTTTTTTTTTTTTTTTTTTAACAAATAAAACTCATCTTGAATTTTTAAAGGGCAAGAACATAAAAGACTCTAACTGCATTCCAGTCCAAAAATAAGTTAGAAGTAACAGAAATGCTAGACAAGAGAAAAACATAGAAAACATAATATTGTGTTAAAATTCTTTAAATGTGTTTAAATGTAACAAAATACTTACACACCTGAGTATATAAAGAAGACCATTATCACCAATAGAACAACTCATCTTCATTTACTTACTTTAAGTAAATGTGTGCTTCCAAATTTTTTGGACTAGGACCTGAATAAAGTAACTACTATGCTTCCAACCTTTTTGCACACTAGGGGGTCAAAGACAAAAATGCCCTAGTGATTCAAAATGCTTCTCTTCCAATTTTAAGAGCATCAGCTGAAAGGTGGTATTATCCATCACAGTTATTTTCTCTAACAAAATTATTTTTTTAATTCTTAAGCCTCAGTGTCCTAAGGAATACCAAAGCCGACAGACTGCCTCTTAGGAAAACTTCTAATAAGACATGATAAATTTCTTACTGGAACAGACAATCATTTGATCACCTAGCACAATTCTAATGAAGCCATAAAGCCATGAAGATTTACCCCAGCTGAGGATTTTGAAAGCAATGAACTATGAAAGTGTTCCACAGTCTACAGTTTTAGAATCAATTTTTTGAAATAATTTTGAGCATGTTTAGTTGTAAATACATAATAATACAGATTTATATTTATGTAAATTAATAAGTATGAAGGAAAAGTTTAAATATCCCAGCAAATTTATTATATGTCTTATATTGAAGGATAAAACTGGTCTTCCACTTAAAGTCTCAAAAGTCATTGCTAACAACTTATTAATGTTTTATAATACATATCAATTTATGTAAGCTTAGTCAAAAATCTAGTATCTGAACTTCAGGAATATCATTCAAAGTAAACCTCTGGGTTCTACGTATTCCAGGTTACTATAGTCCATTTGCTATTTTTGTGGAAGGCATAACAGAGTTTAATTGGATGCAATATCCACTAGCATTTTAGTGAAACACACAATGCAGTCAAATGAAACTGAAGTATTATTTGAATGGAAACACAAGCATAACATTTTTTTCACGAATAGGCTTAGACCTTCTGAGGAAAAACCTATAGAGAATATTGACTCTGTGGAGTTAAAGTGAGTAGAATAAATCTTTCAGGAAGATACCTTCTAGCTCAGTCTTGATTTAGTTCCAGTTGCCTTTAGGGTGATCTCATTCTAGTACTAATCACCTACAGATCAAGGGAAATAAAAAGATATTAAATGTGTGTGTTGACCTCTAATTTGTATTTGACAGTGACAGAAAAGTTCAATCTGTCAGACATCACTGTTGCCTATTTTCACTTGGTTCATTAAGACTCTCAGCAGAAGAAAATTGAAAAATTATCTTGGCAAGCAAGCCTGTGACAAGAGAACAATCAACAATAGACCTTCAAACTTCTATACTCATATATTTTTTATTATTATTATTCTTTACCTAATAGAATTTTGCCATTAATCAACTGCATCATCAAAATCATGTATCTGGATGGTACACATTGCTTACAAATCATAAGGCTGAAAATAAACTCATGGTTTCAGTGACCTATGTCAAAGTTTAGTGATTGAAATCAAATGTTTTACCATATCCATATTCCACTTGAACAAGCAAAAGCCATGAAAAAGCTCACAATAATTTTCTGTTGCAGAAGATTAAAGTAAATCAACAAGTGTATAAAATATCTTACAGCTTCAGAGTAGAAGTCCTAGTTACTAAAAGCAAATGGAAGACAAAAGACCAATAAATATCACTAATAAGATAGTATATACTACCAATACAGTGATACTCATACTCATACATAGGGATTTCAGAACAGGCATTAGTTGTGTCTTCAGTAGAGCATTGCTGACATTTGTTATAGCAGTCCTCATACAGTATTTCTAGACAAAAATCTCACGTTAAAAAATGATAAATAATGCATTAAATTCTATTCCAAATTCGCTCGTTCCCTATTGAACGTTGTGCCAGTAAGTGTCAAACAGGAAGTATCAATGTTATGGAAGCACCAAAATATTATGACAACTTTGTAGACCATAAAGGCATTAATGACACATGTCAAGCCAATTAAAAATCTAGAAAACTTCCTAATTTCTCCTGAGATCTTTCAACAGTACACAGAAAATCTTGAATGAGAAAAACTGAGTAGAAACATTTGATAAAAACATGATTTGATATTTCAAAAAAGGAATATCAAATAGGCTCCAATAGAATTGGTATAAAGATTCACTTTTCCTTTATGATATTGGACTATGCTCATTCTTATCCTAGCAGTTCACAGAAGGCATAAATATTTTTTGAAGTAATAGAGATACACAATTTTCTGTATTGTAGCGCTGGAAAATTGAGATTATCATTCATACTTGAGTATATGTTTACTGCAATAATTCATTAAAGCACCTCCGACTCTGTTGAATAATTCTATAGCAAGAGCATGAGTTTATGTTGCTCCTCAAAATGCCATGTGCAAGAGAATGAAGGCTAAGAGAGTGCCAAGACGCAAGAGTAGTCCGAAATTGCTCAAACAAGTTATTTAGATGCATGATATTAGGTACACATACAACATCCACAAGAATGTAGCCTTCATTATGAGCATTATGAGCATTTTAAATGCAAGGGAGACTACAGTATCTGAAGCCTGCATTAGTACTGTAGGCTTTTCAGTATTCTGTATTCTGTTGTTTGCTTGTTGCTATACTTCCTTACAGATTACTAGGGCTATAATGATGAAAAATTGTCCCTAGCAAATCAAATTTGAGAAAGCTAACAAAATCAAAAGTAATTCTGTTCACTATTACCTTTCAAGGACTATATAACACTTCTGACAGTTATTGTAAAGAATGTGAAATGTCATAAACCTCTTAGCATGACAATGATTTTCAATTGAAAACAGTATGAATTCAGCACAGTCTTATCTATGTTTCAGAACAAGTTAATTCAGCACCATTCTTAATGACTGATGCTCTTTATAGAAGGATGTTAACCCACACTTGAAGTTTTGTTTCAATTCAGCTTTTACTTGTGGCTAAAACATACTTTTAATCTTTGGCTAAACAGGCCATGCACAGCAATTCTGGATTTTACCAAGGAAGGAAGAAAACTAAGAGAAAAAAATAGAGGAAGACAGTGGGAGAGAGAGGGAATTGTATTTTTATGTGTTTAAATTTCTTTATTTAGGAAGACATGTTAGATAGGAGGATAACTCAAAACATAGCAGCTTTCTTCATTTCCTACATAATAGTTAATGAAGCTGCTGCTACTCATAAGGACCTATGCAAGACAATTGAAATGGGAACAGGCAGGAGGATTGAAAAAATCCTAGTGATTATAAAGCTGAAACCGAAGAGTAGAATATTTTTTCCTTTCAAGCTATGGTGGCATGTGCATTGATTCATGAGATATGGAAGGGTAAAGTACCTAAATTAGAAAAAAAATGGTGAAAGTCACTGATGCCAATGAACTGTAAGCTTATTAATTAAGGAAACTGAAGCAGTATTTAAGGCAGTATATCATGATTATTTGACTATTCCTTCTTTAATTTTCTTCTTGAATTTGTCACTCAAACACCGTATTTATGATTCTGTCTTTGAAAGAAACAAAAGTTATTGGGAGGGAGTATCATCTAGAGTGAACTGAACAGAGAAGTTGGTGTGCTTTTTCTTATTTGCAGATCCACCACAACTCTGTTCTATGAGTTTAACAATAAAACAAAGAGTACTCACAATGCCTCCCTTCCCTTGCTTTATCTACTTTGCACTAAAGAAATTCTACTGTTGAGTCATGTTCAAGAAAAAAAAAAAAAAAAAAAGCCTTTGTCATCATTCCCAAAATGAACCTGAATGCAAAGTACTTGGCAAAAAGTTTATTTTGTTCCAGTGTTCGCACTTCTCTTCATTGCTGATTAATATTATTGGGAGGAGTGCTGAAATCCTGCATATTCTACTCCTATTTGTGCATTTCTGGTACAAGTTTCATATTGTAATGACAATGTTCATACAGAATGTTAAGGAAGAGTAGGCTCTTTATTTGAACCGAAACAATAACTTTTTTTTTTTTAATATGTTAATCCTTTTGAAAGATGTTTACAGCTTCTAAACACAGAAAAAGTGCTTTGTTTCTGTTGCCATCTACCACTTCCATCACTCATCCACAACTGAAACTATATTAATTTTAGTGCCTTTATAATTTCACCACATAGCTTTATCTTTAAATATAGATGTTGTTACAAATATTTAAGCTATTTAACACTTTCCTGAATTTCACATACCAAAAAAAGTGTATTTGTAGACTGAACATATTTTTAGCTTAGTAATCACATCACAAGCCACAACTACTGCAGGCCAACGTGATTAATGGTATGCAGTTCAGACCTCTGATTGCAACTTGTGTAGACATATCTAGCACCTGAGTTACCCTAGGGGCTAATGAGGGGGCTAATGAGACTATACCAATGATAATATAAATGCTAGCATGTGCTAAAAAGAACCCAGATTATACCCTAGGACTAGGTAGTTTGCACTGAGTTCTGTTCAGAAATGGCTACTCAAAATAATATCTATATTACCTTGTTTAGAGTTATTCTTTTCAAGCCTGCATTTCACTTTTGGGCTGTAGGATGAAAAAAAGCTTCAGCAAACCTAAGGAGATGCTTTCAGCACAAGAAATGACAATTTACCATTTTGTTCCTTTGTTCCTTTCTCAGAAGTCACACACACAGGAAAAAAAGCCTAAGTGAGATTTTAGATACAACATGTGTCTAGTGTAGGCTTTGTATTTACAACTGTCTTGATTACAGCTAACAGGATTCCTCTGAGTTCAGCATAGATATCATATTACAAATGATAGAATGATACTGAGATTAAAACAACCAAATCAAAAAATTTTATCAATATATAGCCCAGTTAGATTATATAAATATCCAATGTCTTCCTGTGCTTGTATGATCAAGTAGTGACTACATTAATGATGAGATATCTTAGTCCAACAGAGTGATATAGAAAAATACCAGCACTGAGGAAATAAATTGGTGAAATGAAATGGCAATTTTGTTTCAAACATCTTTTGAAATTGGAATGGTTGGAATCTCTAAGCTGATGGATTTGCTGGAAAAAAAATGCCTTATAGCTTTGCCATTAAGGAGAAAATTTGACTAGCTTAATGCACCAAAAAAGAAAATCCTAGTCTTATTTCAAGTAATTTAAATTTAAACATTCAACATTCAACATAAACATTTAAACATTCAAAAAATAACCATGAGTTATTTGCTTCTCTCTTTCTCCTTCTCTTCCAATGCGTAGTATGCTTTCTTTTGCACTGCAAAGTTCACATTTTGAACTCTGCTAAGCTAAGCAGAGAATAGGTGTCTCTGCTCTAAGTCTTTAAATTAGAATATATCTCCTCAGTTGAAACACTTTTTCTTTCACTTTGTTCCAGAATAGAGTAAGAAGTGGCAAAGATATTTTCCTAACTGTCAGACCTAGGATGATTTATTTTTTTCTTCTAGTGGAAAGTTGCAAACCCAAGAGAAAATTTCCACAATCTCTCCAATTAAAGACTATTTTGCAGTGTTTATATAGGAAAGGGAAAGGGAGAGGGAAAGGGGAGGGGGAAGGGGAAGGGGAAGGGGAAGGGGAAGGGGAAGAGAAGGGAAGATATAGTGTTAGTGTAGAAAGTTTGCCATTCTCTCTAAAACTATTCAGAATGTAATGTAATGTTTTTTGTGCTGCATATGTCAGTTCCAGAAATTACTTTGAACTCACAAGTGTAATTCACAGAGTGGAAGAAAATGGTGGAGATTTTTTTTCAAAAGCAAAATAAGTGCAGTTTCTAGTCCTACTGGCACATGTTGACTAAAGAAAAACAGGTAGCCAATATATTCCTCTTTTTAAAACTTTATATAGCAATGATTATTTTTGTCTTCCTTAAAGTAGCTTTTCCTGTTCTCTAAAATACCATTTTCCCTATGTAATAAAAAAATACATATTTTCCTGATTTGATTTCAACACTGTGCACTCTCTCAACAAAAAAAAGTATTCTATAAATGCTATAAATGCTTTTTTTATGGTTTTCATAAATTTATCATTTCAAAAACTTGATAGATTAAAACATTACCTTCTTACAGAAGCATTCATTGTGTAAACTCTAGAGATATATCTGAATAAAGAAAACAAGATTGTTAGTGGGTTTTGAATGAAAAAAAAAAGAATATTTCTTGCAAGAGACGAGATATGCAAAATGTAGACTTTTTTCTTTTTTTTTAACCCTTCTATGCTTTGCTTATAAAACAGAAACATAGAGACAAATTATTTGTATTATATATTTGTCATACATAAGCAGTTATCTCTTTCTTGCTGAACAAAGTTGAAAAGATGAAATACCAGAACTCCACCTGAACACCCCTACCTAAGAGTTTAATATTTTACCGGAAAATTTCAGCTCTATTAACACTAGTCATCATGTCTATGCAAAGGCGAGGCTGAAATAGAACCAAAAATATAAAAGTAATATGAAACATCTGAACTCCAGAAGATTTCTCTTGCTATATCCTTCTCAGTGACTTTCACAGATTCACAGATTCACAGAATATTTAAGGTTGGAAGGGACCTCTAGAGATCATCTAGTCCAACCTTCCTGCTCAAGCAGGCACACCTAGAACATGTGGCACAGGGTGGCATCCAGGCTGGTTTTGAAGACCTCCAGAGTAGGAGACTCCACAACCTCCCTGGGCAGCCTGTTCCACTGCTCTGTTACCCTAACAGTAAAGAAGTTGCTCCTCACCTGGAGACGGAACTTCTTGTGTTTCAGCTTGTGGCCATTACCCCTCGTCCTATCGCTGGCAACCAGTGAGAACAGCCTGTCCCCTTCCTCCCTGCATTCTCCCTTCCTGAACTTATACATATTAATCATATCCCCTCTGAGCCGTCTCTTCTCCAGAGAAAAAAGGCCCAGCTCACTCAGCCTCTCTTCATACGAGAGATGTTCCATTCCCTTAATCTTTTGACTTTGCCCAAAGAGACATTCTATAGATATAATTGCTTAGGCAATCATCTTCCAGGTGACTTTTTCCTGAGCCTCATATACTCTTGGAAGAGGAAGGCGACAATATATTATTTCTAAGGGATGTAATGAAACTCACTACCACCTCTTCCTTTCCTGGGGTTTAATTTCACAAGCTGGCACAAACTTCCCCAAGTTCCTCAGTGCCTTCTATGCATCAACAGTCTCCGGGAGAGTGAACAGCTACTTAATCAGTTTGATAGTTTTCTTCAAATCAAAATGTGAATTTTGAGGAGGCAATTATTACGAGGTGTGGTGTACTATAATGTTGATTTTAACCTTACTTTAGATTCATAAACCAGATTTGGGAGCTTATCAATCATAAAATACCTTTACCTCTAGTCATAAAAATATCTCTACTATTTTACAAAAGGAAAATTAGGAGAAAAGTTATTTGCCAGAATTTTATCTGTCTATATGAAAAACTGTTGATATCTTGAACTGCTGAGAATGAAATATATTGAAAAATCTTTCTGCAACTTACATGACTACATGGACCAGATATAGATGGACAAGAGACTGATACAGGTATCAGGCACATGCATAGTCACTCCCCAAACCACTCTTTATGTATAATGTATTCAATAAATCTGATAGCAAGTAAAAATGGGAAGTTTAGGAAGCTGACCAAAATCAGTTTTACTTAGGGAATACTTAATATTTTAAATAAAATTCTAAACCTTAGAAGCTTCTAAAACTCCACATAAAAAAAAAAAAATAAAAAAAAGTACATTTGATTTTTTCAATAAAAGTCAATGTATACATGAAGTAGTGTGTGTACACATATATATAAATTTATACATATATCTGCCTGTCTCTATCCCTGTATGTCTATCAAAACCACTATATGAAACAGGGAATTAATCCTGTTAGAAGCTTTAAGAAACTCCAAATATTAAAGGGTGGGTTAGATATTAAGAAAGCATTTCAAAGATGATTAAGGACCAACAGTACTTACTCCTCAAGTTTGAAACCTTTCTGAGACCAAAGGCTTAAGAATAAACAGAATCTTACTGTTGTGAGAGATGCATAAATATAATCCTAAATCTTCTTTACATCAAAATTACTGAAAACTGTCCTCAGGCGGATTCTGTATCTTAAAATCTCATCCAAACTTTAGAGTAAAAACAAGGTGGACAAATGGTATAAACATTATGATAGAAATATTCTAGATTTTGCATACCTATATAGAAATATTTTGTATATATTTAATTACATATCCATATTTATACCCATGTACACAAACACAAATATATTTCCATTGACATTACATACATATATTTTAGATATTTTATTTATTTAGAAAGAAAAAAAAAATGCTAATCTCATAGAACAATAAATGCTATTCACCTAAAATACATTTTCAAAACATATTAGTTAGTATATATTTTCTCAAAAATATATTTGGGGTGAAAAATATATAATTGAGGTGACAAGTTACAACTGGAAAGGAAGGCTAAAACTCCATATGGAAGACCCTTAGTAATACAAATCTGTGTGTGAAATTATGACCCTGAGTCTTCTGTAATTTTACATGCAATATATGTGCAATACATAAAACATGAAAACTGAGTGAGCAATATTTCACATTCATTTTCAACTTATGCTCAGTGGTGACCCCACACATTAATTTATTTCTACCTTCACCAGCTTGCCTGCATTGTTTTCTACTTTATTTCACTCTTTTTTTTTTTTAAATGCAGGTTCCAATTCATTGATCATATATATGCAGTAAATCCAGGAGTATATTATGTCACTACAAACAAAAGCTGACTGCCTGAGATTTCTTTTCATGAGAGAGAATGAAAAATGTAAAAACAAGTCTCCTGCAGACTGTTTAGTATTCCTTACTTATAATCTTACTCTTCCACATAAATAATGTATATAGTTATAGTTATGACTGAGTGTAAACTGGTTTAAATATTCTAAGATGAATGCATGACAGTTTCGTCTACCTTATTATCTGACACACAAGGAGAATAAACTGTCATTTTGTATACACATTTAATGTAATATAATAGCATAAAGATGTGTTATATATTCCTAAAATGTTAACTGAGTACAAATAATGAATAGTTTAATTGTATTTTTAAGTTGCATTATTGTGAGATTATGAGAGTTTTACTGTAGGGGAAGATAGATGAAATTGCATTTAATTATGCTGGACTATTTTACATCAGTTCTATTAATATTACTTGTAGAACATTAAAAAATGTCAATGTGTTTGTCGCTTGACAACAAGCAACATGATTAAACTGCAGGTTACATTTAATTACAAGAGAGATACTATTCAGTTACATTCATTTCTAAGGACCAGCAAATACAAAGGGTCAAGTTTACAACCCAAGTAGTTATTATACTTACAAGTAAGACAGCAACGATTGTTCCTCCTATATCTTGTATGTTCTTCTCACGCTCAGCAAGCTGAATTATGGTACATATCTGGAATGAAGTGTTACAGGACAATTTACATAATAAGGTCTTGCACTACAGAAGAAGTTATTAAAGAACCTCATAAACTTCCCTTCTGAAAGATATATGGAACAGTCCATTGTTGATAAAGAGGGGCTAGGATTGAAATATCTATATGCATCCTAATCCCTAATCTCTGGACAAGCTGTTGCTTATAATATGCAGATAATATTTCTCTCCATTTGCATTGCAGTGCAAATTGTTAAACAGAATACGTATTACACATCGCAATCTTTGAATACCATGTGAAAATATATGAAGCTTTGTAAAGCTACACTATTTAGGCAGCATTGTATTTTGTTATGTCACTCCTGTAGTTCCATGAGGTAGCTAATTTTATCTTTAGAGTTTAACCAAAACATTGCAACTTACTTTAACATTATTTTACATTTTATCTTTAAGCCTTTACTGCTCAAAGTATTTGAATTATTCATGATCTTAACTGCCTTCATGAAAACTTGTAAACGGGAATTAAATTTTCAAATTATCTGTTTCACAGAATATTTAATAGAAAGCTGGGGGTTGATTAGGAAGCATTTCTGAGAGTTACATAAGAAGAGCCAGGGAATTTTAAATGTAAGGATGTGTCATATTTATTTTCACAGAGGTACATAATTGGATGTATTTGGCATCACAGAAATATCCATCTATCTGCTGAATAAATAGATATTCAGACCAAATTGCTTATCTTTGAAAAGAGTCATAACAAAATCCCTAGTACATTACTTTTGCCTGGAGCTCTTGACATTAGATATTCTACATTTGTTACTGTGAGGAAAGATACACTGTATTAACAGGATAATAAAACAAGTATTTGAAGTTCTACCTTATCATGCCTGATTAAACTGTATTATTGTATATCTTAAAGGACACAATGGAGTAATGTGTTAAATACTGCATTTAGTTACCTCTCTTCACCACTGGAAATCAACAGTAGAAAATTAAGAGCTGGGTTGACCATTACAATGGAGCTGGGAGAAGTGGTTTTGTCCATTGAAGCTTTGAACCTCAAGCAAGACTTTAATTCATATATTTAGATCTAAAGTAAGACTTCAGTTGTGATGGTACTAAACCATATGGTTAGTGACATGAATGGAGTGAATTGTTGAACTGTGAGAGGTTTTATTATTATTATTATTATTATTATTATAAGTTCCTGTTAGCACACATAGTCACATTATTTGACTTATACACAGAGAGTATCATAAGAATTGGGCCAATATCTCTAGTTTATAGTTGATATTCCATAAGTTATTATTTTTGTTCTACAAATTCCCATGTATTTTCAACTGTCCAAGAATAATTCCAGAAGGATTTAGGCTGCCTAAACATCCCTAAACTTCTCAGCATCTGTGTTAAGTATTTTAAAATATTACTTGTTTATCAGAGTTTAAATAAAAAGAAAAAAAACAACAATGATCAACATATCAGGATAAAATTTATAACATTTGAAACCACCACTGTCTTTTTTTTTCAATATATTACTAACAGTTTTCTTCAGGGCTGGCACCTGCCTGTAGGTGAATTATCTGTGAGCCGTCTGAGAGTTATCTAGCTCTGCAGAGTCTAAGCAGTTTTCAATAGCTTCATATAGATTGAAATCATTCAGGCTACATTTATTTCAGCATATAGATCTCTCTCCTACCATGGAGAGGAAAGAATAGTTGCATCTGAAACTTACGACTTTTTCTGCCATAGATTTGTTCCTTTGGAAAGTTTATTCAATATAACAAACTCATTCATCATGAAATCTTGGAGTCTGAGCTATCAGTGAAATGTGAAATACTCACATAAAACTGAGCTATAAGCAGCTATCCTTCCCAACTGTGGCAGAGGATACAACAGAAGAGAGTATTACAGGGACCTCAAATGCAATTTTAGATATATTTAAATTTTATTCTAAAAGGAAACTGCAGAATATAGGATAAAGAAAGAAGGACCATTTAAATTTTTATTTTCACACTTGCTTTCTTAATTGTATGTATGTGGCTATTCCTTTTAATAGGAAGGAGACAGAAGTACTTTAAGCTACTTAGTATCAGTTTAAGACCTTTCATCAAAAGATACGTGCAGGCTGATTTTCAAATACCTTATTTTGGAAATTTTGTATGTTGTGTGGGGTTTTTGCCCCTTTTCCCCCAAAAAAGCAGTCAAATAACATAAAGAGGATTACCTGACAAGTCCTAATTAAATCTAAGTATCTGTGTTTCCTTAGTAACCACTCATAGCATCACTAGTATTCAAGAGAGACCAGCAGGTGCAAGCAACCATAAAAATGAAAAATCTTACTTTTCCAATTACTTATTGAAATATTAGAATTAAAGTATTTAACACAGGCTTCCTACTGATTTCAGTGCTTGGATATAACATTGCCCCAATCTTTTAAATAATTATACAGTATTGAATGTCAATTTAATAGCTTTTTTATTTCTTTGTAATTCCACCTTTGTATGTTATAGGATACTATACTTGCATCAATTTCTTGTGGTTAAGATAAAATTACGTGTTTCAGAATGAACTGCATACTCTTGAAACTGTCCTGATATTCTCGACCAGCCTTTTTTCTTGTTCATTTTTGAGAACTGTAGACTGCTGTGTGAAAGCATACATATTGTTCTAGAAACTGAAGAAACAGAATTTATACCAGCTTTACAGAGCAAAGTAAGCTTCAAAGTGGTAAACACAAAATTGTGCAATAAAGTGAATTAAAAAACGCAAATCTGTGAACCAGGACTGTTCGTATTTCAACAATAATAAGATTTTTATCATATTTTATTTTATATTATGATTACTTTTTAATAAGAATCATTTGGCTTTGATGACTTAATGCTTTCTACCAAGCCAACATTAGCTTACATCAAAAGAGTATCTTCAAAAAATAGGGTTACCCAATAGAGTCAAATGGATGGAGATTGAAAGAATCAAGAAGGTCAATCTTCAAATCAAGAATCAAGAATAGGTCCATCACAGGCTGGAGGAAAGTGAGAATGGCACAGTAAAAACTTGCTCCTCTTAGAGAATGCAGATGTACCCAGAGATCTCCCCCAGTAATATGTCATGGTCCTTGCACGCTCACTCATGGACCACATATGGGTTCATTACTCCTGTTATGATAATTTCCTCCAAGTAAGTTCTCAGTCATACTCCTGCTCTTAGTATTAAGGAGCAAAGTATCAGTTTGTAAGGGTTGAACATTAGATTGCTTCATGAATTTAGTAAATTAAATCACTGAAAATTGGTTCAGTTTAACAACAACATTAATGATGAAGCAGCTATATACTGAATTTTAACATCTACAAATATCTAAGCATATTATTTAGAATAATTTAATTATTTTATTTAAAAATGTGTTTGTAGTAGTCCTCAAATGATTTTATTTCTTTAAAAGTTAGTCAGCAAAGTCTTGGAAAAGAGGTAAGGTTTACTTTGGAGGGAAATATATAAATATTTGCTGAACATCCTTAGGAGAATAGTTATAAGTTGTCATTATGTATTCTGCTAGACAAAATATCTGAGTTCGAAGTTTCCTGTTTACTCGTTGAGTGAGGATTAGGATATTGTTTTTAGGACATGCACAAGATAAATTATTTATTTATCCCTGTGATTCCTGGTTTAATTCACTATTCAAAATCTGATCAAGTCAGTATAATTAATCTTTATATATTAATTGGACTAATTAATGTTAATACATCTATTTTTAAAAGTGTTATTTAGATGCAGATACAGCTTCTAATGTTTTTTTTTTTTTTAAACTATATAGCCTTTTGAGAATTAGAATAGTCTGCTATAATAATTAAACAGATTAACATTAAATAGGATACTGTGCACAAAATACTTAAAAGCATTTACTTTGGGAGTAGAAATATAGCAACCAAATTTGCTCGTGGTGTGGATCAAAGAAAACCGACATAAATTAATTGAACTCATATTCTGACTCCGATGCATATCAAAGTGGCAGCAAATAATGCAAAATGTATTAGAAGTACTTCTACCATCTTCTCTTATACTAGACACGTAGCTGAAAAGAGCTGTTTCATTATCTGTGCTATGCAGTATCCCAGGAAAAGAAAATCACAAACAAATTATTAAGTCACTGAATTGAAACTAGAACCCACAACAGCCGGTTCTGGATCTCATTATGGAAATGTTTTCTTTCATTAAAAGTAACTGGAAACAGAGCAGTTTCACCTCTGATTTTGAAGTAATTAAACAAAGCTCAAAAAATACGTGTGTGTATTGTTGGGGAAGGTTTCACCTCCGTCAAAAAAGACTAACAAAATTCGAAAATGTTGTTTTCTCTAACATAAGTACCCTCCCTTATCTTTAGAGCTTTGTGAGAAGAAAAATGCTATTACTAAAATGTTATTGTCATTTGAAGATTTCTGTACCAATTGGGAGAAATGCAATAAAACTCTTTGATATCTTCTTCAAAGTACTTGTCCTGGTTCTACTGGAAAAAAAAATGATCCTATTCCACTTCTATCCATACTTTCATAATTACCTCTGTCATGTTATACCACCTGTGCCCCGCCTAACACAGAGTTTGGGAAATCTAGAAAACAAAAAAAATCCAAAGGTACTTCTAACTCAGACTCAAAGACCTTTGAGTTTGAATCACTGATATTAATCAGTGCACACTCATTTATTGCACATAACCTGTTATCACACTAATTTGGATCTGATTTACATCTACTGTTTCATTAAAAGGTAATTTAGTTACCCAGAATAAAAGACAAAGAAGTCTTGCCTAGCTAATTTGGTGTTCCTAATGTTCTTGAGAGTTTTAAGTGCCCTTGCCTGGGAAGCACTTCAAAAGTCTAAGGTTTCATACAGCAATTCATACGGCAAATGGACAGTTGCAACTCTTAACATCTGACTCCTGCAGCTTCACTTGAGAGACTCCAACGTGACATGAGATGGGTCCAGCCAGCCAGTGCTTAATATGCAACATGTCCTGCACCTTTCCTACC